AATAAAAAGACAAACGTTGATTGGTTTTATCAGTAATACTATACAACATTCATTAATTATTCAGTGTTATATGCACCTTCTAACCACAAAAATAGATAAAGTTAATAAAATTACGTCAAAATTTATACGGAAACTATACTATACGAGTTAAACTCTGGTTAACCTTTTTTTGTGGTAAGACATATAATTTTGTCACTTTAGTACTTATTTCTAAGATCCCATTAAGTAGTTAATTTATACCCTCATCTGTTATATATCAGTGATAGGTACTCATTGACAAATTGAGAACAGGATTGCAGATAAGTTGTCGTAAGTTGCACTGACATGTATTAAAATGTAAATAAATCTAATTGAATAAAATCGGACTCCAAATAATACGCAACACATCCGAATCTACGACGGTGAATATTGTTTCGAATGCGGTAGATAATATTATGATCTATTGAGACAGATTTAATGAGCGAACTGGCAACGTCGCTGTTATTTTTTTTGAGGACGCCAAATAGGCGGAATTATAGTCAGAAAATCCCAAAAATATACAGCTGTGGATATACGCGCTACAGCAGCGCTCTAGCCGCGCTGAGATTTCTTTGGGAACTTTTCAAAATACTATAACAGCCATTGAACCGATCTTTTGGGGTCTGTCGATTTTTAACCTACGTGTAGCCAGGACCAAAAGGACCTAAGTAGCATAGACCAAAAAAGTGGCGTCCGGTATGCGGACGCCAAAAGCAGGTGGACGCCAGATTAAATGCACTTTTGCCTTCATGGGACGTCCAATCGATAGCGGGATGTAAATATGTATATATATACTTAGATATAAAGTAGCCGGGACAGATCTGCAGAAGCAATACTCGAAAAAAATCTATTGATTTCTTGATTCTATGATTTCGGTCTAAAAAAATCTAGCGAAGCTGTTACTTAGCCTCAGCTGATAAGGGTGTACCAGGATATAGGTAACTAAGAATAAATCACTAGAGAAAAGATGTAACATCATGCTTACAAATCAATAATACATGTACGAACTTGTTTTAGCTAAACATGTTTTTATTACCATACAGTAAACGAGTGATTGTCATCGATGATAATTATTATGAATTGATAAGATAATGTACATACAATCTGGTAAAACATCACAGTCTGAGATGTTTTTTATCATGTGATGATACGTTCGTTTCGTAGATAAACTAGGTGTCGACGGTAACTAGGTAGGTATTCCTCGTGCGGCGATCATGCGATGGCAGCATGATTGCACAAGATGATTTGATTACAAATACCTCTCATCGAAGTACAAACATACACTATAAGTCATATATGTATATATATGACTGAATCATACAATACACCTAGGTACTTGTTTCCACTGAAACGCCAGCTAACACCATAGGTAAATAGTGTGTCCAATACAAAAAAAAAATTGCATACGGTCGGTCATCCATTACTGAGACGTAAACGTTTATTGTTGTGTAAATCGAATCAATTGATATTGTTAATGTAGGTAGTCGACATCCATTAATTATTATTTAAAATTAGCTTCTGCTCGCGGCTTTGCCCTTATTCCCGAGGTTTAAAAAGTAGCCTATTTTTTTATTTATTTATGTGTTTTTCTCGACCATAATCTATCCTTGTTTAAAATTTCATCCCGTTCCCTGCAGCCGTTTTCACGTGCTTGAGTGACAAACAAACGCACAAACGCACAAACACACAAAAATAACATCACGCCTTTTATACCCGAAAAGGTAGGCAGAGGTGAATATTACGGCACTTAATGCAACTGTTAAATGTAACACCCACTTTCCACTATTTTTGTTATGACTCCCATGTAATAGGGGGTGAGCAACAAACTCAAACTTCCGCATTTATAAAATTAGTAAGAAGTAAGATACGACATTATATTTTACATAACACAAGGAATCGTAAAATATAATTTTATCATTAATTTTCTATCTGTCTTACAAGACAACATGAATATTCGTAGTCTATTCTAAACTCACACAGGGACATTTAAAAAACCTACGTATAATAGCGAATCTGCAATACGCCACTGCTTCATGGAGGATGTCCCACCGACTCCCACCCAGTTTCCTTGTGCGAACCGGTGAGCAGGGGAATTGTTTGCCCGAGTTTCCTGAAGGGTGTCTTCAAGGCCCGAGAGGTTGCTTATAGTCTGATATGCTCCAGCATAGGCCCCATCATCTCTTTACCACCAGGCGAGATAGTGGCCAAACGCCGTACCCATTGCATAATATAAAAAAATGCAAAGTGAAAAGGGTTAGTTTGTCCAAATCTCGTTGTCAGTTAAGTGAAAGATTGTAATTAACCTTTCGTGTGTCTAAAATGCTGATCCATGCGGGACACAATTATTTGTACTTTCTATTCTGTCTCATATCGGGGTCAAGGGAACAAACCATTCGCGACCACAAAATAAAAATTTTCTTACATATTATGTACTAATGTATGGTATGTATTTTCACAGATCCAGTAGTAAAGGTGTCGCTCGCCAGCTCAGACTTGGAGAAATCCATCGCCTACTGGAATGGTCTGCTTAGTCTGAAGATCTTTGAGAAAACTACAAAAACTGTCACGCTGGGCTTCGGCGCCGACCAGGCTAAGCTGGAATTAGTTGACATCGGTAAGTACAAACCTTTCTATGATAGTTCTGCTTCTGAAGTGGTTTAACCTATATAGGCAAAACTGGTTGGTCCTGAAATCGGATTTGGCCGTAACACGTAGGTATGTAGGTATATAAACGTGTCATGAAAAATATTTATATTAATTTATCAGTGCATCATTGTATTGATATTTCTGTATGCATGTTTACCCAAAATAAACAAAAACATAACTTTTTTATGTGACTGATAAAACCTAGATTGTCGTCCAATTAAATAAAGGTCACAATGAATTGTTAATCATTTTCTTCGTCGTGGGGTAACTACTTTTATAAATTCAACGATATCTTTTACCGTTTTTTCTGTTCGTTGTGTTGCTCGTTAATTTATTTATTGATACAGGGTTTAATATTGCACAACACTAAATTCTAATTTTCACGCTCTTGTCGCGGAAAACGGGTAACCGGGGCGGGGCTCCGGCTCGAAGTGCAAGAGAAGGAACGGGGTGGTTTTTAGTCAGTAAGGGTGTGACACTCCCTCCCGCCTCACCTAAGGCGGGAGCAGCCATTCGATGATTTTCCCCCCTTAAAAAACATGTTCACGCTCTGCATTAGGATTTTATCCTGTCAGTGCTATATGGAAGCTTGTAAAAATAGGCTATGTGGCTCGCCTTTTGCGTTTATGTATGAAATAGGTGAGATTAGTGTCCTGAACTTTTAGAAAACTGGCTTCACAATGGTGACATTGTAAAATGTGTGTAAAACATTATCAGAAATATTCCATGCGTTTCTGTCTAATATTGACATTATCTTCATGCGTTTTATCTGACATAATGTAGGCTACATGTCTAGATGCTGGTGAACTTTGGAAGCAGGAATGTCTAGTTTCGACAGTGCGCCTACCAGCACTATCACGGAGCGTGGCAGACATGTGACAATAGGTTTATCTATTCACGTTTTTGACAACATGTAATTTGATACACAATTTAACACTTCACACTTAGAGCGAGTGTTTGATAAAACCTTACGCATGGAAGGTAATTTCCACTCAAGGACCAAGAAAATGATAGTTAGCTATGACTAATGATGTCAGATGTATTTGAGTTACCATTAGGAATAATACTTGCCTAGATATTACTTGCCTTAAAGCTCTGTTTGCTCCTTACAAACATATTTCCATATTTTTAAGCATAAACAAATAAACGAACGATTGCTACACACAAAACTTGAAGTAACTGTAACCTGATTGTATGTACTTCCATGTATGACCTACAATTACTTTGTCAGTACCTACCTACCAAAAATAAGTATCTCGGTGAACTTGAAAGTAACTTATAAAGACAATATGAAAACGGAAAGATGTAACGAACATGACTTATATTCTGTTTAAGTAATTCACAATTATTCATACAATGTTAATTTTGAGTTAAATGAATGGTATATTGTTTATCAGTAACCAAACACGAATAACATAAGATTTATTCAATTCCAGGTGAGCCGGTGAACCGCGCAAAGGCATACGGCCGCATCGCTTTCTCATGTCCATTCGACGAGCAGCCAATCATCGACCAGAAGATCCAGGCGGCCAAGGGTGCCATCCTGACACCTTTGATATCGTTGGACACGCCAGGCAAGGCTACTGTTAGAGTCATCATTCTAGCCGACCCCGACGGCCACGAGATCTGCTTTGTGGACGACGAGAGCTTCCGACAGCTGTCGCAGGTGGACCCTGCCAGTGACGCCGACCTCGACAAGTTCATCAAATCAGACAAGTCGCGGGCGTAATCACCTTCCATCCGTTTCTTACGTATCGAGCTAGAGTACAACATATTCTCTTGCATTATTTCTACTCGTACTTAAGTTATTTTCCGCTTAGCGTCACAAGATACGAATTTATTGATTCTATGTATACTATGTATGCAAACGCTCATATTCATTGTTCTGCATATAAGAATGATAACAAATATTGTACAAATTTTATCGGCTTCTTACAATGTAAGGATAAGTAAATTATTTATTAAAATTTAAACCTTACGTGGTAGCATCAAAGCTCATTGCTCTGTGACAAGTACAATTTGAATAGCCACTTCATTGTTGTGATAAGTCTGTTTTAAGATATCTCTCTTCAGAATAGTTTAGCATTCCGTGTTGTTTTAAGTGGCTGTATAAGTATTATTTTGAATTATGTTAAACATTGTTGTAAAGTAATATAATATTGTATATGTTTATTGTCTATTGTTGCACCAACTACACAGCAATATGTTAACTAAGTAATAAGAATATATCGTTTAAATCCTACACTATTTTTATAATTTATCGAAGTCCGTGTAGTATTAAGATGTAGATAGATGACAGGAAGACAAATAACATGACGCGATGAAAACAATATTATAACTATAGTCACTATTTGTTTAATCGATTCCGAAAAAAGAGAAGGTTCTCAGTTTAACCTGTATTTATTTATTTATACTTTGTTGCACATACAGAAAGAATTGTATACATTGCAATAGTAATTTGAGTACAATGGGCGGTCTTATCACACGCGGCGATTTCTTCCAGACAACTTTATGTATGTATGTACTGATTGATTGAACCGATTTTGATTCTCTTTTCAGAAAGGAGGTTTTAGTATTATTAATTAACCGACTTCCAAAAAAGAGGTGGATGGTAGAAGTCGGCTTTTTTAAAACGTAGTTAATAAAACAGTTTTATTTTATGAATAAAGGAATGAGGTAATAACAGAATTTCAGGTAATGATAGGTGATGAAAAATTGGAACAAGTGGATGAGTGTGTTAATCTGGGATCACTATTTACAAGAGATGGAAAGTGTGACGGGGATATTGAAAGGAGAGTGAAGGCCGGAAATAGTGTTAATGGTACCTTACACTCTGTAATGTCAAGTAAAATAATATCCAGCATAGCTCGACTTGCTGTAATGCAGTGTGTATTGACACGCTTTTGTTTGGCAGTGAATCATGGGTGTGGCAGAAAAAGCATGAAAGCTATTATTGCGATGGAAATGAGAGCCCTGACATGGTATGTGTGGAGAAAAATAGTGTTATTAGAGAAAGGTGTGGATTAAAAGATGATGTAATGACAAGGATTGAAAAAGGAATGTTACGCTGGTTTGGATATGTAGAAAGTATGGATGAAATTAGAGTAACGTAAGAAGTATACAGACATATTGTACTCACCAGATTGGCGATATATTAAAGAAGAGCCAAATTAAAAGTATCCTAAACCGACTAGCATGCATGAAGAGACAAGAGACTGACGACTGTTGATAAAGCGAAAGGGTATGTAAGATTCGTAGCAATTAGCGTTCCATAGTTTCTGCCTCCCCCAAGGGAGACAAGCGTGTTGTTATGTATATATGTAGTTTGTGCCTATGATTGAAAAATCTAAATGTAGAGGCAGGAAAACATTATTCCTTTCGATTCTGACTTGCATCAATGCAATGCATACAATGATGTATAACAAAAGCTTTGGGTTTAAAAACATTTGGTGTCATAGTGTATGGACGCTAATATTCCTTATTCAGATGGACCGTAAGATTTTTTGCAAACCTCGCCGATCTGTGGGCGGCGAGCTGCCAGAACAGTAGCTAGCATAATTGGAATGATGACAGGGTATAAACATGAAAAATCTAATTAGTCCGTAAGTTAGGCTATAAAAAAATATTAGACATGTATTTTTTTTTATTTTCTCGTATATTTTTTTTTAAACTGTCAAACACCAAGCGGTCACCGGTGACCGCAACCTATTGTTCTATAATTGTGTCTATAATGACGGTACTGGACGAGTTAAAAAAACGTTGCCCCACACTAGGATTTTCTTCTGTGTCGTGGGTGAGTTTACAAACATACAAATTCACATACACAATGACACCCAGACCCGAAACAACAATTTGTCGATCACACAAAGTATTGTTTCGTGCGGGAATCGAACCCGCGACATGAATATAATAATGAAACAATACTTAGATAAAACGAATCAAACTTTAGGAGTGGGGGCTAAAACGTAATTTCTACGTATAACATGTACTTACATAAAAGTGACGTCACGCGACATTTCAAATCAATATAGGTATCGTCGAAAGTATTCGTTTCTGTAAGAAAATAAAAAATACGTGTCTATGTGTCTAATGATTTAAAGTAATGTACCAGACGGACATTAAAATAAAAATTAGGCATCTACCCTATTGTTTATCACTACACAGTATAAAACAAAGTAACTATTCTCCGTCTGTCTGTCCCTATGTATGCTTAGATCTTTAAAACTACGCAACGGATTTTGATGCGGTTTTTAATAGATAGAGTGATTCTCAAGAAAGGTTTATATGTATATACATACATATTGCACCCGTGCGAAGGTGGGTAGGTCGCTAGTTTATTTATATATTTAATTCAACTTAATACAACAAGTGTGTACAGGCGGACTTAATGCCTTGGGCATTGCTCCCTTTAAGTCATCGCCAGTCAACCTTTAAGTAGTGCAGAAATTATAGTAGTAGGCGATAATTTAGTCTCCTCAAGTCCTCCGGTACCGTCCGTCACCGTGAACCTTCACGGAATTTAATGTGTTCAACCCTCACGTATCAGAGACATAAGCCATTGAGAGGTACCTATTTCTACATTAACGGTTAACTACTAAGTACAGATCAAAGGCAGGACCGTCTTCGCTGGGGCCATTGAGCACACAAAAATGTTTCTTTTTTTAACATGGGGCAACGTTAAAAAAGAACGATACGCTAGGATTCACTACTGTATCGTTGGTGCGTTTACAAACATACAAGCTCACATACACATCACACCCTGACCCGAAACATCAATTTGTAGTTCACACGAAGAGTTGCTCCTTGTTGCTCGTTGCCGCACAACATGTAACTGGTGTGTGTCAGTTGTAGAATTTGTCAATCCTTCGGGGCCCCTGAGGCTGGGCACGGGCCCTTATTGTAAAGATGGTGCTGATCAAGGGACTTATGCTGCTTTTCACCAACTTTTATTACATTTTAAGAAACTCAACAGCTGAGATCGGCGACACTTGGACGACTTGGTGACACATTTTGGTTTCACACGTCCTATAAGTGAGATCCCAGCTGTACAGGTAAGGGGTTAGGTTAGGCGTTCCTTCAGGTAAAGCATCTCTTAGTTAGACATGGTTTAGGGTTGTTGGTAAAGTATAAACAGGCTTTAGACATTTGACAGAGACCACGTAGCAGCGCTCTCTCGTAATTCTAAACCTCGTACTATGTGCCTTCACTATGAGTATGTCTTTGCTTATTCGCTATAGTTATGATATTTATTATAAAGGGAAAAACTCCTAATTACTGGCTCCATCCGAAGGTTTGTTCTCAATCTGAAATCACATTTCATTTCGATTCATTAAAAAATAGAATGAAAGAAAGAAAGAAAAAACATTTATTCAGCACCAGGCACGATGCAGCATAAATAAAATATAAAAAATACAATAAAGGTGTGACAGTGGAAGCAATAAAAACATTGAGTCGAAAAATTAAAACAGCAGAATTAGAAGAGAGACGCCGAGACGACGACGAAAAATAATGACTTTAACATATCGATGAGTGCCCAAGATGAAATATCCTATGTGCGGTTTATCAGAAAGCTAAGGACTAAAGATTGTGGCAAGTTCCTAAAGTGTGTACCACAATCACATGAGCATATTGCAATGCTCTGGCGCAAAACTACTTATATTACAAAAAAAAGTTGTCTAGACATAACTTACTTGTAGAAAACTGTGAGTAATTTAAACTGTCAAACACCAAGCGGTCACCGGTGACCGCAACCTATTGTTCTATAATTGTGTCTACAAAACCGGTACTCGACGAGTTAATTTTGTAGTTAACGGTTTTCTTGTAAAATGCACAGGAAAAGATATGTTGTAAAAAAACTGTTTTTAGCCGCCATTTTTTCAAGATGGCGGCGCGAGAGACACACGTACAAAGATGCAAAATGACAATCGAAAAGAGCACATCAAAATGTACAAAATTGCCGATTTTCAAAACTCCCGGAAAACATTTCAGGTAGAACTACCTAATTACTTAACTATAGTTAAAGTATGTGGTATGCACATTATACAATTCACATTATACAGTCTGCCGGGCTGTGGAATTTTCGGGCATCAAATCCGAGACCCTTTGCTCAGCTATCGCGTTGCATCTCGATCAACGAGGCAGCCATTAATTTATCATTTCAGCATTGTTTACCAATATTTTTTATGGAATTGGAAGCAAATGAGCAATATTTAATATTAGAGCCCTTATATTAAGAATAGTTCTTTATTTCAAGAAACTTCCTTGCCGATGTCATAATTAGGTGAGTTACGGCGTCCAGGGTTCAGTTAGAAGGCAGATTGGCGTGATAACGGCTACTTAGCGATAATCGTCTAGATATAAATCGCGAAGTGAATCGCGGCGAGCAGTTAGCGCGCCAAATGACTTGACCGTATCGATCAAATAGCTCATAGAGTTGCGAAACGGCGGGATCGCGTGCCGCCGCGGCCCAAACTAATGTAACGCTGCGGGCCTCGCCTACATCCGTGAGAGAAGTCGGGAAGTCCTGTCTGCATTCCGATTACAATCGAATTACATACCCCACTTAAAGCATACTCACGGCTTAGCAATTAAATAGCAAAGCAGAGCATGTCTGTAACCACAGAACATATAAATGTTTTATCTATAACGATGACAAAAGAGTATGTGCTGTTTGACACATGTTCAAAAGTATAATACACCTTACTTTACATTTCCTGACAAGCTTTTCATTAACAGCCTGTAAGTGGCCACTGCTGATCATAGGCCTCTTCACACACGGAGAAGGTTTGAGCATTAATGCACCACGCTTGTTCAATGCAGGTTGGCGATTTCAAACTTATAATTAAAAAGTATAAGCCCATGTTTCCTCGTTTTTTCCTTCACTGTTTGTCAGTGGTGTCTAAATAAAATAATCTTTTTTTTTTTTTGAGGGGGGAAAATCATCCAATGACTTCTCCCGCCCGGGTGAGGCGAGAGGGAGTGTCAGACTCTTACTGACTAAAAACCACCCCGTTCCTACTCCTGCACTTCGAGCCGGAGCCCCGGCAACCCGTTAAGTCTTCATATAACTCGGAAAAAGTACTAACCCGTACTTTCATGAAAATTATAAGCTGATCAGAAGTACTTTTTTAATCAAGATATTGTCCTATGCAGAAATTCAACGATACGTTAAACTGCGACTGCCTCATTGGCCAAGTGGTCGCAAGTGCGACTGCCGGGCAAGGGGTCTCGGGTTCGATTCCC